TTCTGCTCTTCTGCCCGAGCAGGGAGAGGGAAGCGGAGCCACCTGCCAAGTTGCTCGCAGGCCACAACACAGTTCCTGGGAGTAGGGGCTGTTAAAGGCACTTTATAGAGCAAGAGCAGGTGCCCCTTGCCATTTTTGTAACAGCTGGCCCTGCCAGATCGCTGCCTTCCTGCTGCTGTATCGCCTTCTCACCTTTCTTATCTGCTTGGGTTGCTTCTGACCTCTAGATTAGTATGTTTTCTTTAGCGACAGATCCTGGGGTTTTGATTAGTGTTTTTCTTGCAATACAATGCCTATCACAGTGGTTTCTTAATCATTGACTGATGTTCTTAAGAATTTACTACAACTAAGTTCAGAAAATACTAGAAAATCAACCGTAGCAAGATTTCAAGACCAATATTCCAGATCCATTCCTGAACACTAAGAAAAACAACCAAAACCTCTTATGTATCAGCCAGCCTGGAAGATGATTTTGTTGCTAAGCAACACTATAGCCATGATTCCTGAGTATAACAAAAAAATCCAATGACTTTGTGTTATGCTTGTTGTTTTATACAGCACAAACATTGAAAGTGAAATACGTTTTCAAAGAATTTCTTCTGAAGAAAAAGTGTAAAGTGAGTTTGTTAAGCATAATTTATATCTATTATCTGAAACTTTTAAGAGGCTATTGCACTGAGATTTTATTCTTACACTCTTACTATTTTCTTGAATAGAAGTTTTAAGTTACAGAACCGCTAAAGAATGGAATTCTTATGCATTGTCTTTTTCAGATGTGTTCAATAGAAAGACCAGAAAATGACAGACATGTAGAAGATAGAAGAAAAATTTCTGCTAAAGCTCTCACTGTAACACTTGTGTTTGGGTGTTCCACTTGTTAGCCCGCAGCACAGCTGACCCCTGCTGCGGTCATAAAATATTGTAGTACTTTTATCAGCATTAGCACTTGCTGTTCTGATCAAACACCCATTTGATACTTCTCTTCACCCACCAGAAACAGGCCTGTGTTCTCACTGGGCCACAGTACCTTGCCATGCCCCTGCTCTGGGGGATGTGCCGTGCCAGACTGAAAGGGAGGCAAGGCAGGGCTGGGGGAGGGAGCAGTGCAGCACTGGGCAAGGGCAGCACCACCACCCCTGCCCACAGGCAGGGCAGCAGTGGCAATAAGCAAGCTGCTGGACTTGTGGAGACTTCCTTCTTACCACTAGTTCAGGAACAGGCAGCAATGTTAACACTTGGTTCCACCAAACCAGTCCAGTGCAAGTCCAGGACTGTCTTTTATAAGGACATGCTAGCAAACATTGAGAATTTGCTAGTAGGTGAGAAATTTCTTGAAAAGCCTTTCTTCAGAAAGGAAGAGCCAGCCCAACTGACTGTGGCTACAAATTCAGGTAGCTCTTGAGAGTTGGACTTCACTGATCTGAGCTTCTGGAGTATCAGTGACTCCTTCCTTTTGTCTTCTGAAGTGGAATTTCAAGAGTAGAGGCCTTTGTTGCCCACACAAAAGGAGAATTCAAATCATGGGGAGGAAGTCAACATTCTGCAAACTGCAGAAGAGCAATTTTTGTAGAGCCTCTCCGCTTGTCTTTGTCTAGCATCCCACATTCCTTAAAGTTGGCCTTGCCAAGCTTTCATCAATGTGTGCCCCTCCAGGACTGGCTTAAAGGATTTCTCCATTTCTTACAGGCTGGTTAGAAGGGAGTAGGAGTCCATTTCACAGCTCCTTAGCTGACTGTCCAAAAGTCAGTCTCTAATTTAAGCTAGTCCTTAAGACTCTCCAGAATCAATGGAAGCACATGTCTCTTCAGACGGTTATTAACTCTGGCTGTCTTGGGCAACCCAGATTTTCACTCCAGAATAACTCTTCCCACTGATTGTAGAAGTCTGAAAAATCCTGGACACGTGAATGTTGTGTGGCTCCCAGCAGGTGAAGGTAAACCCTGCCCTATATAACCACTCATCTGCATGGTGGCTGTACAACTTAATAGTGTGCTACATGCCTTGTGTTATTTTAGACATAACTGGCTATAAAGCAATGACTTTTTGCCTCTAGTTTTATACAGAACGGTAAATAACTCTTGCCAACTTCATTATATTCTTGAATTTGAACGTTTTTGTTTTCTTTTTTTGACTCACGTAATTATCTCCAAAATGAGAGATACTCCATCTTTCATCATCTCTATCTCTCTGTACTTTTTTCCAGTTTTGCTACATCACTGCTGAGATGAAGGACTCCTCCATTTCTTCCCATTAAAGACACAAAGACACTGCTTCCATGGGGATTGCTGCTTGAATTTTAGAAGTTTTAAAATGTCATTTAAAAGTAAAGCTGAAGTAGATAATATTATATAGAAGTATGAATGCTTTCAATCAAATAGGGTGAAGAGGATTAATCCTTATAAAATTAACATTGATAAAAAAGCAAGTTCTGATATCAGGCTTATTCTGTACCATTTTAGATGTCTGATTAACTGTTCATTTACTCCAAGTCATTCGCCTTCTATCCACTGGTGTAAATAAGCTAATTTGGAGGGCCTCCCCGTTGTTTTCTGAAGACGCTGGTGGGTTAAATAAGGTTCTTCCCCTCCCTCCCTCCCTCCGTGCAACTTGTTTTAGAACTTACCGACACGAAAGCTTCTGCTTTTGTCTCGTTCAGCTGCAGTGTCAGTTTATTCTGAGTATCGTACACTCCATACAGTCTCTTAGACCAACTCGGAGGTATTTTATTCTTGTATCTTAAAGAGCTATACAGGGCAAATATCCTTTGTAAATCCAGGACCAGGCAGCTACAGTTGTATACAATGACGCCAAGTTCCTTCATCTGTGAAATTAAAAGTTTGTATCGTTAGTGATATCTGTGGAAGCGTGCAGCAAGAATGTAAGTGTCTGAGGGGCACCTTCCAGACGCGTGCCTGGAGCCCAGCCATAGCACTGGGGACTACAAGAACATTCATAGAATCATAGAATCATAGAATCCTAACAATACTCTTTTAAAGGCAAGCACATGAGCTAAATCTTCAAAACCAGGAGTGGGCGAAAACTGTAACAGAGTTTGTACATTCAGTGCATGTCAGAGCCCCATGCCCCTATAGACAGATACAACTTGCAAGTGACACCTGTCTATCATAGGCACCATTTTTGTTGTAGTTGTCACCCAGGATTTTCTACTCATGACTGGGGTGGGATTTATTTATTTATTATTTTTATATTCTTTTGCTTACAAAAAAAGCTTCCTTTCTGCTGGGTGGCATAAGAGCACACACTGCTACCAGTGACAGTTTCTTACTTCAGAAACAATTTGTTTTCTGTGAGTTCTGGAAAAGGTGAAAGAAATGGACTTAAGGTATTTCTCTGCTGGAGAAGGGATACGACGCTCCAGCTTCAAATAAAAGGATGAAAAAGCAGGTGTTTAATTCTCAGTAGCTAAATTTTCTGTGCTATTAAATCCACAGTTTATAGTACACCCAATTAGGACACAAAACGTTTGAGTTCTTAACCTCCCTCATTGCTATCGTATGGTACCTCACCTAGGGTACTCCAAATTTCTGGGTGTCAGTTTCTTCACCTGTAAAAATGGAGATAACGACACTCTTCTCTCATGAGAAGTATTCTGCAAGCATCAACATTCTCAGATAAAAAGTAGGAGGAAAAATAGTCCAAGTAAATACAGATATCATAGTACAATTAAATGCTTTAATCTTCTATGGACACAGTCTCACTTCTCCATTTAAGTAAAGACATGTCTCCTGGCCATCATAAGTCTTGGTTTGGCAGAGATTTCATTAATTGCACATCCCTTGTACTTAAACTGTTGACAGAATTTAATTTATAAACACATTGCCTGGCTTCTGTAATCAAAGTGTAACCGCACGCACGCTCTCTTCCTTTGCTTTATAATAGCTCAGGAAAGCACTGCTGTGGGCACAGATGATGTTGACCTCTCATTATCCACGTTTCGCACTAGTTGAGCCATCTCCAAAAATAAAGCGAGAAGAAAACCTGCCTGTATCTGTTGGAAAACAATACAGAGGATAAATATTTAAAGCATCCATGCTGGTTTTCTGCAAGTAAACTCTCTTGGTAGCACGTCTCAGAAATCTGCCTGGCATGATGGAGAAAACAAGGGGAGTACGAACTCCCCAGCACGCTCATCCTTTGACAACAAAAAATTGCCCCTGGTTTTATTCCCTTAGATGAGCTCTCTGCAGTCACATGGAGTAGTTTCTGGTAGGAGTGTATCTTTTTGTAAAGCCTGGGGGAACTCTGGACCCCACACTGACGTTATCACAGAGCTTGTTCCTGCGCAATTCTCCCTGACTGCAGATAAGCACTACTCTGCAGGTGTGGGCAGAGGAAGGGAAAGGAAGTATAGAACTGAACTTTCACTCTCTGTGGTGGCTGAGGGGAAACAACAAATCCTAATACTCCAGTGAGAAAGAAACTTGATGAATGACACCTTCTTTGCGTCCCTGACCTCGAAATACCACATACATAAAAATATACGACGCTGAGCAATCACATTCCCAAACGTTGACTGAATAGTTGCAACCACAGGAACAACTACCTAATATTCTTACTGCCTAAACCAGAATATTTCCGCAAGCTTCTTTAACTCAGAAAAAAATAGAGAACCCCTCCATTAGCCTGCACAACCGGAAATCTGTGGATAGTTGGAAAATACAGACTACTTGCTGCACTACAGCCTTTCCTTTATGAATAAACCAGTAAATTCATTTTGATGATACATATAAATTATTCCAAGCTATGCCCAACATCCTAGTCAAACAGTCTATTTGGAATCACATCTTTGCTTCTTCCCCTGGGTGCTGGTATCTTTGAGGACACTCCTGCATTCAGTTCTAGGCTGTCCCTGTACTCTATGCACTGTTTGTCTCCAAACATTTTTAACTATATGTTATCACTGTTTTCACTGTGTGCTGCCAATACTGCTCTCTAATTGCCAGGCATGCCGTTGCAAAGGACTTACTAATAGTACTCTGTTACATGTATCTGCATAATGTGGTTTAATCGGCTTTTCACGGCTGTTAGTTGATTCTGACATAATTATGTGGTTACAGTTTTCCTTTCCTTTATCAGTCCCATTATTACTATCCCACTTCATGCCTTCCATTAGACGTAAAGATAAAATAGTGTCCTCACAGCACACCAGAGGCTGCCAGGATTGCATCTGCGTGAGCAGCTCTCCTCGGAGCAGGAGTGCTTGCAGCGTGGCCTCTCCGTGTGAATTAAAGGATTGCCCTTCTGCCTAAGTGCTTCCTCATGTACAGAGATAGGGAGGAAGCCAGGGGCACTAATGGGTTTTTTAAGTGCAATTTTTACAGATTGCCACCTGGCCTGACCGTAAAACGCAGCGTTATCCATGCCTTACCACCAGCCTCTCCCCGTGAACGAACACACACAGGGACCTGCCCGTGTTGCACAGGAGCTTCACCCTCCCGTGGGAGCGGGCGTCTGCCGGAGCCGCGCCGGGACCCTGGCCGAGGCCACTCGCCCACCCGCAGCGCCTACACACAGATCGCAGGCTGGAGCAAAGCCATTGCAAGAGATGCATTTACAGCGCAGTAATGAACCCCGCTTCCCACGGCGTTGTGTCTTGCAGTTGGCTTCTCTGGAAGCAAGCACTGATCAAAGCTTTTCCAGCTTCTCAAGCCGTGACAAGAGCTCCCTTCCACATGGATTCCCCAGTACACGATACAGACCGGGCTCCTCCTTTCCCTCTCTGGGAAAACACAGTTATCCTCTGTACCTGGCTGCCTGTTTTCATTGAGCTTTTAGGAACTTAAGTTCCGATTTGCCTGAACATGGAAAGTAGATTCAAAGCTATTGGAAGAGGGCAGGCAGCAACTCCAGTGCTTATCATGCAGACCTTGTTTCCTTAGGAAACCAGGTTCGATGTCAGCCTGTCGTCATCTCATAACCATCTTGGTTTACGCATGATACATCACCTTGAAATGGAAACGATACAAATGGTGCACACGTGTATTCAGTTGTCGTGGGTTAGGCTGAACCTCCCCACACAGCCGGTCACTCCCCCTCCCCCAGCCCCAGGAAAGAGGGAGAGAATTAAAGGAGAAACGGGAAACCCGTGGGTTGAGATAAGAACAATTTAATACAGATGATTTAATACACAGTGTAGATGCTCACCACCCCCTCGTATGCGAAACCCGTCTCGTCCCGAAGCTGCAATCCGGACGAACACGAGGCCCCGAAGTAGAAAGGGGCAGAGAGAGAGAGATAGTACTCCGAGAGTGGGAGCACTGGGAGAGAGAGAAAAAGAAAGAAAAACAATAGAGCAAAAGCACAGCAAGCGCAAAAGAGCAAAAGCGGCAAAAGAGCCAAAGCGCAAAAGCCCTTCTGTCCAGCTGACCCTCACTTTTATACTGGGCATGGCGCTGCATGATATGGAATACTAATTGGCCAGTTTGGCCCTCAATCTTAAGTTCCACCACAAATCACAAAGGGAATCGTGTCCCCCTTGTCCCAACTATGCTCCCCCCTTATCCTGCCGTGCTTCTGCACTCCAGCACACTGAAAAGTCCTTGGACTTTCACATCCAACCACAAACATCAACTTGCTATCAGCATTCTTCTCAGAGCGAGCCTCTGAGCAAAACCAAAACACGGAGCTCTTCTAGCTGCTAAAAAGAAGAGCTAACCCAGTCCCAGCTAAAACCAGGACAGCAGTAAAACCCCAGCCCTCTCCTTTCTTGTAGAACAGCTCCAATAGTTTTGGAGACCAAAACCAACGCACAACTCTGTTTCAGAATCGTCTTCCACACTGAGCCTATTTTTACTCCCATACTCGGAGGTGAGGAGAGACTGCTCTTTTTCCAGTTAATCACAAAGCCTATCATCCTGGAGACATTGCAGAGAGTGGGCAGCAAGGATGTGCTAGTGACAGATTTAGTCTGAAGTGGTCTGTCATCTAGATAAGGGAGAAGACTTTCTCTTTGGTTTGAGAGCTGCTGTTATCGTAGACTTTTTTAAAAAAACAGTCTCAGAGGAGAAGCAGAAAAAAACACTTATATTGAAGGAATAAAAATCTGAGTGTTCCTCCTTGGCTTGCAGGGACTGAAACCTGCAGCTAAGCATCATCTGAGGTATCTGTTAAGGTAAAATCCTTCAGGGCAAGAGCTCTTAAGGCAAGGGAGGAATTTCTTCATCCTGAGTTTTAAAAGCAACTCACACAGTAACGAAAACATCACTGAAAAACTAAAGTGAAGATCTCAAGAAACCAAAACCTTAATAAAATTAAGGACTACTACAAAATAGAACTGAAATATTTGGATGTTAAAATCACAGTTGCTTGTAAGTGACATTTTCAGGGCATGTGCTGGGGGCTGGAGACAGGAATAGGTTTCTGAATAAAGAATCTTGTGTCCTCTTATAAGCAAGTTTCTTTTGCTCTTTCTTAAGAGCCACCATGAGTGCTCTTTCCAAAGAATGAAAACCATGGGAGCTGGTTTTTCTTGTTCTCCCTGACATTCACATTTGTGCAGAGCAACCATTAAAGGCTACCAAATCAGTTTCTTTTTCTTGCCAGTAAAGGCTTTCCTAAAGCACCAGAGAAGTGAACGGCTACACAAGACTCAAGAAATGGTGGCTTATACCCACCGTACAACACTGCTCTAACTACAGAAATCATTTAAGCTACAAAAAGTAACAAATAAGGCCTAGTTAGAAAAATACTGATTTTTCTGACAAAAGAAAGAATTCCTTACAAGATTGGATGATGAACAGGATTTCACAAACAGAAATTTCAGCTTGTTCTTTTCCCTCGTACATCATATATGAAATGAGA